CGGGGAAAAGAGAAAGATTCAGTGAAGGAGTTTGAGAAGGAACAACCAATGAGGAAGAAAACCAGGAAAGTGTGGTATTCTTGGGACACAAAAGAAAGTAAATATTCCAGGGAGAGAAAGTGACCAATTGCGTTAATGCCCTTAATGATGAAAACTAAGAATTGACATCTGTTTATAACAACTTAGAAGTTGGTATTACTAGGTAGCTCCACAAGAGCTACTTCTGTGGAATGATAGAGATGAAACCCTAACTGGATGAAGTTTTAAAGATTATGGGAATACAGAGTTCCTGGGTGGCTCAGTCAGTTAAGAGGCCAACTAGTTTTGGCTCAGGTCATGATCTGAGAGTCCTGGGATCAAGCTCGGGTAGGGCTCTGCCCTCAGCAGGGACTCTGCTGTGGGTTCTTTCTCTCCCTCTGCCCCTCCTGCCACTTGCACACACTCTCTCTCTCTAAAATAAATAAATCTTTAAAAAAATTAATTAAAAAATTTAAAAAGATAATGGGAAGAGAAGAATTAAAGATAGCAAATTTAGAACATTTTCTCTTATTTAAAGATTTATTTATTTGAGAGAGCGAGCACACACACACGGGTGGGAAAGGGAGAGAGAGAATCTCAAGCAGACTCCCCACTGAGTGAGGAGCTCGACACAGGGCTCATCTCACAGTCCTGAGAGCATGACCTGAGTCAAAATCAATAGTTGGGACCCCTAATGGACTGAGCCACCCAGGCGCCCCCCAGGTGTACTTGTTTTAGCAAGTTTCAGTCTTCAAGAGCCTTTGTTAATGTCAATTCCTTGTCAAATCTTCCCCTCCTCATCTGCATCACCATCCCACTTCACACTCCGTCCACTGTACTGCCATAGCACTTTGTAAAGGCCTCTATTTTTTTTTTTTAAGATTTTTATTTATTTATTTGACAGAGAGACACAGCAAGAGAGGGAACACAAGCAGGGGGGTGTGGGGGAGGCAGAAGTAGGCTACCCGCAGAGCAGGGAGCTGGATGCAGGGCTCGATCCCAGGACCCTGGGATCATGACCCGAACCAAAGGCAGACGCTTAACGACTGAGCCACCGAGGCGCCCCTAAGTGCCTCTACTGTGATACCACATTGAATTTACCTGTACTCCACGTCTGTGAGGGAAGGGGTTACCATTATCTTATGTTTGTGCTCCCAGTGTACCGCAAAGTGCCTGGAACATAGAAAATACTCAATAAATGTCAATGGAATGAAGGAATGATGAATGAATCAGTGAATGAATGAAAGGGAAAGGAAAAATAGAACTCAGGGTTAGGAATAAAAAGAAAAATAAGGCAACACCTGGGTGACTCCGTCGTTAAGCGTCTGCCTTCAGCACAGGTTGTGATCCCAGGGTCCTGGGATCGAGCCTCGTGTCAGGCTCCCTGCTCTGCAGAAAGCCTGCTTCTCCCTCTCCCACTCCCCCTGCTCATGTTCCCTCTCTAGCTGTCTCTCTCTCTTGGTGTCAAATAAATAAATAAAATCTTTAAAAATAATAATAATAATAATAAGGCAGGGGGTGCCTGGCTGCCTCAGTCCAAAGAGCGTAAGACTCTTGATCTCAGGGTTATGAGTTTGAACCTCACACTGGATGTAGAGATTACTTAAATAAACAAATAAGTGAATACTTTTTAAAAAGGCAATTCGTTTTCAATAAGAAATTCCCGTATTTAGTCATACCTCTTCATTTTACAGAAGAAAAAAAAACAAACTTGTGTTAGTTTAATGACTTGCCTAAATTAGTTACTGTCAGGGGCACCTGACTGGCTCAGTTGGTAAAGCATGATGCTTGATCTTGGGTCCTGAATTTGAGCCCCATGTTGGGCATGGAACCTACTTTATTTTTTCCCAAATATTTTATTTATTTATTTGAGAGACAGAGAACAAGCAGGGGGAGTAGCAGGCAGAGAGAGAGGGAGAAGGAGGCTCCCCGTCAAGCTCCTTAAGGACCCCAACACAGCGCTTGATCCCAACATCCCAGGATCATAACCCGAGCCAAAAGCAGGCGCTTAACCCACTGAGCCACCCAGGAGCCCCAGAACCTACTTTAAAAAAGAAACAACTAGGGGCACCCAGGTGGGTCAATGTGTTAAGCGACAGCCTTTGGCTCAGGTCATGATCCTGGGGTCATGGGATCAAGCCCCTCACTGAGCCCCGCATCAAGCCCCGCATCAAGCCCTGCATTGGGCTCTCCCTACTCCGCAGGGAGCCTCCTTCTTCCTCTCCCTCTGCCGCTCCCCCTGCTTGGGGTCTCTGTTCTGTCAAATAAATAGATAAAATCTTAAAAAAAAAAGAGAAGAAACAACTAGCTATTGTCAGAAGCAGGGCTATAAAGCAACAGGGCTTTTAGCCTTAACCAAGTCCCTGATCTTTTCTCATTATTATAACATTAATCACATTGTATTGCCAGTCTTCCCCATCACATCGAACTTCTTGAAGGCAGTAAGGATGCCTTATCTATCTCTAATCTATCCCTTGATTATAAATGATGAAGGTAATGAATATAGCCCATGGTGCCATAGAAATAACCTCAAAATCAAATACACGGGCTTGCAATCCCCTTTAACACTACTTGTCTGTACTAATTTCCACACTGCCAGAGATATCTGAATGACTTTTAGTGAAACAGTGAAATAACCCTGAGCTTTAAAAACCAAACACACCTGAGTTTAAATCCCAGTTCTGAAATTTACTGTGATATTAGGCATACTCTTTAGAATCTCAGAGCTCAGTTAACTTATTGCAGCCCAGATCAGAAAGGCCAGGAAAGCAGGTAATAATACCTATCCCGCAAACTAGCACACTATAGGTGCTCAATTAAATGGCATTTTATTGTTGTTATTAATTAACAAATTAGCTAATTCATTCATTAAAAAGCGGGGCGTTTTTTTTAACTCCTCTGCATATCAAAACCTCACCACCTGTCCTTTAAACCATTTCCAGGCATACTTTTCCAGAAATTTTCAGAGTTCTAACCACCTTTACCTGACTTCACATGAAACTGAGTGGCCCATCCACAACTTTTAGCATTGGATTATAAATTCTATCTTGTGCTATTCTCTATTTTTTTATTATGTGCATATATCATTTTTTTTCATCAAACTGTAAACTTTTTGACCATGTAATAGGGTGGCACAGAGAAAACAGAAGCAGGGAAAACAGCACAGAGGCTAATTATAATAGCTCTGACAAGGGATGATGAGAATGAGAGCTGGGGCAGTGGCAGTGGAAAGAGAAATGGGTCTCAGAGACACTTTAATGACAGAACTGGCAGGATTTGGCCCCTGATTCAATGTGACGGATAATGCTGGGGTGGAGAGTAAAAGATGATCTAAAGTATCTAAAATAAATGGTTGACCAGATGATGATTTTATCATCTAAAATAAGGAGTAAAATAGAAGCAATTGGGAGACTGGGGGTGATAGAAGGAAGGACAAAAAGTATTAAATATGTGTTAAATCTTTTGCAAGTAGGCAAGAGTGGGCAATGAAAAGAGAGAAAAGGATCTAAAAGACTGAAAACTCTTGGTTGGGGATATTTCCTCAGGAAACAAAGCAACTTCTGAATGTAAGCTACACAAGACATAAGAGAAACTGAGGTGGGGTGGGGAGGATACAGGAGGTTGGAGAAAGTAGTTCATTCAGTGAGGCCCTGGAGGGCAGAAATAGGCCCAGAGGGTAAATGTTACAAGTAAATTTTTATTTGCCCTAAGGGAGAATTTTCTAATAACATGAGGTTCCTGAGTCACCCAGTCTTGGAGGGAACAGCTCTGCTTTGGGATCCAGGAAGCTAAGTATCCCATTGTATGATTTTGAACCAGTCATTTCACCCCCAAGCTGTCCCACTGCAAAACTCAAATCAAAGCTATTATGCTTATTATTTTGGTGCTAGTGCTTATTAGGACACCTCCTGTATCACTGAGTGCGACAGAAGAAACAGATTTGTGACCATCAATGCATCTCACATAAAATGCAGATAGAGTAAATAAGGTTACAGCGCAGATCAGGGAGATGAGTAATAATTATGAACCAGTTGATCCCCACACCCATTCTTAACAATGAGTAGTTTAAAAAGTACATACATTTCTGTTTCTTCTTTGAGAATGTCTTTTCTTACCTGTTTTTCTGTCCATTCTTCAAGGTCATGAGTTTACCTATGAGTGAATAAATTATAGTGGAAGAGCTTCTATAATTTATAATAGAACATCTCAACCAATTGGTACACCTTGAAACATATGCCAAATTAGCTTGGCAAGGCAGCAATCTAACAGGAGATATACTGTAGGTAAAATTCTCTAAACCAATTTTTCTCATTATACCTACACAAATTCTGCTTGGAGATTCTTCTTTTTTTTTTTTTTTAAGATTTTATTTATCTATTTGAGAGAGAGAATGAGAGACAGAGAGCACGAGAGGGAAGAGGGCAGAGGGGGAAGCAGACCCCTTGCCGAGCAGGGAGCCCGATGCGGGACTCGATCCTGGGACTCCAGGATCATGACCTGAGCCGAAGGCAGTCGCTTAACCAACTGAGCCACCCAGGCACCCCTGCTTGGAGATTCTAACACACTACATTCTGTCTGATTTAGACAGTCAGGCTTAAGTACATTTTTTCCACAATAGACAAGTTGAGGGGTGGGGTATGTTTTAATAACTATTTCTCAAAAGAAATCACTTCCAAGGTATCTGTAAAGAACAATGGCTGGTCATAAGAAGACTTGTTTTCTAATCCCAGGTCTGATGAATGCTGTGTGGCTTCATACCACACAGCATGTCACTTAATACCTTAATTTCCTAAGCTATGTATTGAGAAGTATGAAGAAAGAGAATGTATGTGAAAATCCTTTGATATATAAATTATTCTGCATTGAAAGACTTTATAACTAACGCATAACTCCTCCTTTCCTCAGTCTACTTATATAGAAATGAAGTCCTTAATAAATCTTTGATATAACTCATAATTCTCTCCTTCCTCCATCAGATTTATTAATCAAATTATTGAAAGTATTTTGGTAGATTTAGAGACAAAACCTGCAAAAAGAAGAAAGCCAAATGCCTCTGAAAAAGGTAAGGGTAACTTAAATGAAAAAATCAAAGACTATACATACTCTTAATGTATTTGTAAGACATACTCTGTCTTTATTATTTTTCAAATCTGTCAGTTGAAAAACAAAAGTATGGTGTAATATACTCAAGAGGTTTAATATTACATTATTCAAAGATGACAACCATGAATACCATTTATTGTTGTATTTGAACCACTAATTTCAGATGAAATCTAAAACACTCAAGTCCCAATTGTTAGCACTGACATGCCAATAAAAACATTAAGGAATTCTTTTGTAGCTAGTTTATACTATTATGCATTTATTTGAGAAAACAAAATATGTACGTAATAATGTATCTAAATCTAAAATATGTAACTAATGTATCTAAACTAATGTAGCCTATCACTACAAAGGCTTCAATAAAATCCACTCAGTCAAAAGTTGAACAAATTTTACTATATAGCTTAATTTAAAATCTATGTTGTCATCCATCAAATTCTGATAACTGTACAATTTAATGTATGTGGTTAGAACATTGCCTAGACTAAATGAATCCGAAGTTGCATTTCCATTCCTACAGGAGCCAGTTAACCTGAAAAGGAGAAAAAAAAAATCAATAACCTATCACAACTTGCTATCTATCCAACTTCTCTGATCTTGATGAAAACTGAGTTCAAAGGGCACTTGATAAAACTGTGGATAAATGGCCTGGGCAAAAAACTACTTACAATGCCATCTTCACAAATGAAGTACAGTACTCCCTCAAATTATAAATAAATGGAATAAAACAATAAGCTCTACTTACTCTAAATATAGGGAACAGAGCATGCCATGATCCAGTTAAGAAAAGGTTTTCCTCTCCCTTGCTAAATCTAACACCTCCCAGAGTAGATCCTGCTGTGATGTCCGAATTTGAGCAAGTTGATTAAATCCTGAGCATGTTTCCTCCTCAGCTGTAAAATGAGGATCATAATACTGATCTCCTTAGGACAACTGGGAGAATTACAGTAAGCAGTGAATACAAGCTAAGTACCAACTAAAAGCAGGAAGAGTAGTAGCTGGTGGTAACAGCCATTGTCCTCATTCCCTTTTTTTTTTTTTTTAAAGATTTTTATTTATTTATTTGACAGACAGCGAGAGAGGGAACATGAGCAGGGGGAGTGGGAGAGGGAGAAGCAGGCTTCCCACCGAGCAGGGAGCCCGATGTGGGGCTCGATCCCAGGACCCTCCAACCATGACCCGAGCCGAAGGTGGACACTTAACTACTGAGCCACCCAGTCGCCCCCATTGTTCTCATTCTGTCCTGATGCATAAGGGATCATGTACGGGTCTTAGAATAAAAACTAAGAGTGTGTTTTACGAAGGAAAGGGTGATCAACTTTAGCAAAGGGTGAAGGAAGATCAATGGCTTTTGAATTCGATAATAAAGGAACTGTTGGAGAGTTTATTTTAAAAGAACATTTTCCAAGCAGTAAGGTGACTGTAGGTGACTAAGGAAAAAATAAATGAAATGGAGATGGCAGGTATCAACCAGGGGTTTTCAACAGTTTGTATCCACCAATCATTATCATAGAATCATGATGATTTTTCTAAATCAGAGAAGGACTTCTATTTCTAAGCTTTTTATTATAGTTCTCATTTACAGAAGTTTTAGGATTGAGAAAAATAAAAAAAATAATTACTGTGACTGTCTTGTGGCCATGGTTTTAACTCACAAAATGTTCTATTAGTGGTTGACAATATATAAAATCATTGAGGTTATAATGGTACAGAGGACACTGATGATGAATTAAGAAATGGTAAGTAAAGTGGGCAGGGGGAGGCAAGCCATATCTCTAAATAGGAGACTGAAGGAAAATGAATTTTTAGTGATTGTGATGAAACATGGTTTCATGGCAACTATTTCTATGCCACTGAGATCTACTGATCCAAGCTTTTTGATGATATAAAGGAGAAGAGAAATAAAGTGTTTGAAACAAGAAGCTATAAGTCAGGCAATTTCTTTCAAGATGTGGAAAACTGCATGTTTGAAAGCAGAGGTTTAGGAGCCAGTGAAAAGGAAGAGAACAAAGAAATGGAAGAAGCAGCAGAAAAGCGTAGCAACCAAGTATCTTACATAGTAAGATATGATTCAATAATAATAATAGCTAACATTAACGGGGAACTATTTTTTTTAAAGATTTTATTTATTTGTTTGACACAGAGAGAGAGACAGCGAGAGAGGGAACACAAGCAGGGGGAGTAGGAGAGGGAGAAGCAGGCCTCCCGCCGAGCAGGGAGCCCAATGCGGGGCTCGATCCCAAGACCCTGGGATCATGACCTGAGCCAAAGGCAGACGCTTAACGACTGTGCCACCCAGGTGCCACCCAGGTGCCCCGGGAACTATTATCATTTAAAAATTTTGTTACATCTCTGTGTTACATACAGTAGCAGCTAATAGGAATAGCGCAATTCTGATTTTTACTGGTGTCAGTAAAAAATTTGTAAATTATGTAGAAAGATCATCTATCCACCTTTTTATAAAGAAAGTATACTTCATTCTTTTTGTTATTTTAAAGATTTTATTTACTTATTTGAGAGAGAGAGAGAATGAGCAGGGGTAAGGACAGAGGGAGAAGTAGACTCCCCACTGAGCAGGGAGCCCGACATGGGGCTCAATCCGAAGACCCTGGAATCAGGACCAGAGATGAAGGCAGCCACTTAACGGACTGAGCCACCCATGCACCCCCCATCTTTTGTACTTAAGTTTTACTTTGAATTCATGTAGTACATTCACACAATCCTCGGGCCACCTGGGTGGCTAGGATGGTTAAGCATCTGCCTTCGGCTCAGGTCATGATCCCAGGGTTCTGGGATCATGCCCCACATCGGGCTCTGTGCTCAGCAGGGAGCCTGCTTCTCCCTCTGCCTGCCTGTCTGCCTACTTGTGATCTCTCTCTCTGTCAAATAAATAAATAAAATCTTAAAAAAAATTTCACATAATCCTCAAAACAACAATGTGAATTCTGCTGAGTCAGTTTTGTAATTCTCATTTTCAGAGAGAGAAATTGAGACGCATGAAGGTTAAATGACTTGCAAAAAAGGTTCTTTTTTTGTTTTTCTTAAGCCCAGAGTTGACTATGAAGAAATAATTCTTACATTTTCGGGAGATATTTAAGTGTTGGACTTCCTAACTAGCACTCATCTTAAGATAAAATGTTTTTTGTTCATTCAGATTCCCTCTATTTCCCCCAAAGACCCAGTAAGTGCCCTGATGCTGTTCCACTCTTGATCAGACCTCTCAGAGGCAACATAATATCTATGCGTGTTTCTCATTCCCCAGCCCCCAACCCCTGTCATCCTCCAAATTTAAAAACCTATTTCCCATTATCTTCAGAGCACTATTCATTTATCTAATTCATTGATTTGCATTAAGATATTAAAACTGATCGCAGTGTGGGATGCCTGTCTAGCTCAGTCAGGGAGTATGCAACTCTTGTTCTTGGAGTCGTGGTTTCAGGCCCCATGTTTGATGTGGATCTTGTTTGGGAAAAAAAAAAACTGATAGGAGCTCAACAAATTATCCCCTCCCAGATTTGCATTTTAACCTGGGGCCTTAAATTGTTTTAATAATATGGGTATTTCTGACCCTCATAACAGAGCCAAGGAAGTTTGGTTTTTCCTGGCATCCCATCACACCAACACATCAAAGGCATACTTTATAGGACTTTTTTGTAGGAATAACCCTAATCTTCATTACATGTACATCAGTATTAAACAAAAAGGGAGAAAATTATTCATAATAACACTAGTCAAAATTATAATTTTTTGCCCAACTTAATTTTGTGATTACCTAATGATAATATTAAATCAATTTTGTCTTAATTCAGTAAAATGTTATAAGCATAAGCAAATAAGTTAAATGTTTAAGTCATTCTTTAATACTATCATTCATTTTCATGAAAAGAAGAAATAATTTCATAAGTGTTAAATAGTAAAGTTATACAAGATTCCTTCTGTGATTAATCCTGAGACATTTTAGAGTTTTCATGCAAACAGATGAAAGAAAACTCATTATTGCTAAAAAGACCTCCTTTATGTCACCTTTTGTTTTCCACTGATTGATTCATCCTTCATTATTTTTCTAAAGATCAGGAGCCATATATCTAGTTTAAAAATTAAGAAACCTCTATCAAGCATGTGTTCTGCTTAATTCTATAAACACTAGTTTTAGGACCAAAGATAAAATGAAATAGATGAAGGCTATCTGCCTTACATACACCTCCTTTTCCTTTAAGAATCTCCTCTGGAAATGTGGTTTTCTAGAACTTCATTCATCTCTGGTTAGCTGAGCAAGGAGAAGCTTACATACACTAATATGGCTGAACCAATGACTGTCACCAAGAGGGCCCTCTGGCCTGAAAGGAAGTCACCTTAAGATAGTAGAGAAAAGGGCACCTGGGTGGCTCAGTCGGTTAAGCATCTGCCTTCGGCTCAGGTCATGATCCTGGAGCCCCTGGATCGAGTCCCGCATTGGGCTCCCTGCTCGGCAGGGAGTCTGCTTCGTCCTCTGACCCTATCCCCTCTCATGTGTTCTCTCTCTCTCATTCTCTCTCTCTCAAATAAATAAATAAAATCTTTAAAAAATAAAATAAAATAAATAATAAATAAATAAAAAGATAGTAGAGAAAAGCAGGATGATCATCCTAGCTCTTGCACATGAAGAACTGTTAGCTCTTTTTTTTTTTTTAAGATTTTATTTTTAACTAATCCCTACACCCAACATGGGGCTCAAATTTACAATCCCAAAATCAAGAATCACATGCTCTACCTACCAAGCCAGCCAGGCACCCCAGAATTGTTAGCTTTTTATATTGCATGCATATATCCTGAAACTACAGTATGAGGTTTCCTTTATATGATGTAGTACTTTACTGCATTGATTGCTGCTTTATATTCAGCTTTCTGGCTTTTTGCAACACTAATAAAGGATTTCCATTTCCAAATGGTTTGGGAAGATGTAAATAATTATACAAACAA